ATATCTATATATGTTGGATTGCGCGCAGATGGTTACGCAAAAAATTCAACTATTACGGTCGCTATGGCTGTACATGTATCTAATGTCTATCACGTCCGACGTATTTTCTAATGAGTTTCTTTAGCCGTTATTATAATACACGTGTAATCCGCATTGAAAAGAAAACCATCGTGGCCACGGTTTAACGTGGCGTCAGCGACGTGTGCGTGTGTGGCAACGCGTATATATATAATAATATTCTGGAACGCTTTAACCGTTTAATAGGTATGTACATGAAAAGGTATAAACCAGACGAGACGGTTGGGGGAGCGCGTGTGTCCAGTGTAATAATATGCATTAATTGTGTGAAAAACCGTTGGAAAGCGAATAAAGAGAGAGAGAGAGAGAGAGAGAGAGAGAGAGAGAGTAAAGAGCTGTACACGATACGTCTACCCTAGGAATATTTGCGTATTAAAGCGAGTTAAAATGCGCATGTATAATACACGCTTAACGTCTTGTTCTTGTCGCCGAAGAGAAATTATTATTCACCATGACGGTAACATTTTTTTTTCGGAAAAATACAAAAATATTGCCAACACTCGGCGCATGTGCGTACAATGTGATCGCCGCCGTGGGTTTTGTTTAATTGATTATGTTGTTGTAAAATGCTTTTGGCCGTTTGAAAAAAACAAAAAAACAAATAGTAATCGACAAGGTGTGTTTCTTAAAGTATAATTATTTCCTCGTCGACGTTCATGTGACAGCCAAATAAGCCCCACGTGTTCACGGGTCATAATTTCAAAGAATGAATGGCTTAGGTATTGGTATCTTACGCAAATGCGACTCGACTAAACATTTGGTTGTTTTGGAAAAAAAAAACGCAGACCAAATGTAACTGTAAGTATATATTACTAATATAAATACTAATTAAACACCTTCAGCTGGAGCACTAAAATTTACCACGACACGACGTTACAGTGTTTTTTTTTTTTGTGCACTGTACAATTAAAACGATATAATTGTTCCTAATTTCTTTGCACTTAGAATTAAATGCGAACGAAATATAATGTAATTATTTTATTTTTTTTCTTCAAATATTTAATTAACCAAATAAATCATGGTGTCTGTTTTTAACTTTTTCGTTGTTGTCTTGACGACAACTATTTTCTTAGATGGTTTTTAATTATTTTTGGAACTGGAAATAATCTCTCATTTTTATGTAGTGCAATTTAAATCAGTTTACGAGATTAACAAAACTATATGTTATTTCTGAAATTCATAAATTGATGTAAATTAAAAGTAAATTAAAGTAGTATGGAAGTAGGCCAAGTTATACCCATCAGAGTTAGGTTAGATTATTCACATACGATTTTCTACTGCTGAATTCAGCTATAGTATAATACATAATAACTATGTACATCATTTAAAATCTGAATGACTTATATTTTTCTATGAATAATTCGTTTTTAAGTGGAAAAATTGTTTTTTCTATTAAACAATTGCACGTTGACATGCAATGCCTATCCATTATTTTTCTGTGAAATTTTTATTTAAAATTAATTATTTGGCTTAGAACATTGTTATATTTTCATTTATTTTCAATAACTTTTTTTAAAAATTTAGAAAAAAAAATACATTTCTAATACTCTAATATGTATTTATCACTAATACCTATATTGATTAACGTAAAATAATTTAATATTTATTTCATGCATTTTATTTGTATTAAGTTTACAATCAAAATATACTATTGTACATTGAATTCATTAAAAGTTTATCTAATACAATTTTTACATACACTAAATGTAAAATTCACATTAAAATCATAGCCTTTGTAAGAATATACATTTTAAATAGTCATCAGTTATAAAAAAATTGTGAAAAATTTAATAGTATTTAACTATTATTTTATTTTATTTTTTAGAAAACTTTTCATATTTATTTGACATCTTACATATACTTCAAAATCCACATTAATTGAAATGATTAAATTTAAGTTAGGTAATACGTTAAGCTAGCACGTTAAAAATTCATTAAATATCACAACAAATTAATTTTAATTATAAAAAATGGATAATTTACCGTTCAAAACATTAAAATTGTATAATTAAGTCAAATTACAATTAAATTACGTATTTATGATATTCATTTGTTTTAATTAAAAGATGTTCAGGCTTTGTTGCTACCATTATGGTACATAAATTATGCATGAGCTAATATGACGATTACAGGTCAAAAAATTAATTTTTCAATTCACTTTCATGATCGTGAAACGTACATTTTATTGTACGGAAGTGGGTTTAGACTTTTCGGCTATAAAGTAAAATTAAAGGTAATGTTTACAATAAAAGAAAACATGTACTATTGCGGTGATTTGTGGTGGTGCCTGCGGTGAGGTACGAGATATGGGTGAATAATAATTTATTTTATTTATAAGCCATAGGTATACAAACGTACAATACCACTGAATCGTTTTCGCATAGTTGTTGAAGAAGGGATGTTAAATTAGAGCTATCATTGTTGCCTATCTACGAGTTCATGTTTATTAGAAATTATAATCAACTGGTATTACGCACTAACCGTTCTAGACAGTATAAGTTATTAAAATAGTAAACCAGTGCAGTGTGTGTAGAACACAGTCCTTAGGATATTATTTTTGTAATAAACGAGATCGTACGCCATCGGGGTGGACACTTTCATACGAAGAAACAACTTCGTGAAATTAATTTTTGCGAAAAAAAAACCCGAAAACGAAGTCTACGGTGAAATCCGAAAGTTTCTGTATTAATAATCAGCGAAATGGTCAGGGAATATTTGTTGACCGTCGTCGTCATCGTCGGTGTTGTGCATGTTCTACGAGAATTCAACCCACACATACGCATATGAACATGTGTACAGTCGAGAGCGATTTCTATAGGTATCGCGAAAACTAAGTGATATATTGCCGTAGAAATTCATCGCTTTTTTTCGAACACACGGGTCGTCCGCGGTGGATTCATATATGTTACAGTTAATGTATTGAATCAGTTAGTTTATGAAATAACTAAAACGTGTAGGTAATTAATGTAATTTATACTTTAACTAGTTAATTTATACATTCCCTGGCATCACTTGGTTAATGTGTCAAACTGATACATTCATACATGTACAATATCGTTATTTTACTGTCCATCGTAGTAATAAATTAGATAAAACTGACGTTTTTGTTGTCGGTGACTGCAGTGTTCATGTACATTTATTGTGTTTGATAAAATTATTGTTGTACATGTATTATCATTAGGATTGTCAAAAAAATTGGTAGAGTTTAAAGTTTAGCATTAGTCTTACAGTCACATGCGTTCAGTGCTGGTTCGTCTGTCTCTACGACAGTTCGCATGTACAAATAAATAATTAATTAAATTTAAAATAAGTAAAACGTTATGAAATATTTTTAAATTTTAATGTATTTTATACTTTAACAAATATCAAACTAAAATTGTATAAAATAACTGTGGATGTTCTGTGAAATAATTGGTTGAAGTATAATTTTTGTGTATGATTTCATAAGTAATTCATGAACTACCTGTTTACTACATAAAACAACGGAATTCAATAACTTAACTAACCTAACACGTGCATGGTCTACGACGATTTCGACGTTCGGTTGTGCAACAAATATGATACACATAATGCGTGCTAAGCACATCCGCTCGTAAATTTCGTAGATCAGATAATAGAGTCGTTATTATTTTGTTGGGCTGGTTAGGTTAATATTTCTCTGTGCGCTCGGAATTTCGTCCGACGGGCTCGACGTTGCGTAACCGTTAGCCCGACTTATTGGATTTTCGTTAAGCCGCCGATTTTTCAGTCGAAAACGCCGTTCCACAATATTCCAAAACTGTTTGTATACCATACGGATCGAAGACACTTTCGTTTTCTTCGTGTACATTTCTGCAGTGTCGACCGCGCGCATCGGTCGTCGGTGTGTAACAGATTTAAAAGCTAAAAAAAAAAAAATACTCATAACGTAATTTTAATTACAATAAAGTTTGCGCATAGGATTATACAACGTTGTTGTATGTAAATAGTTCGATGGAAATTCGTATATTTTGCGGATTCACTGCGCGAGTGTTTGCGCACGAAAATGTAATATTATTTAATTTTCTTTCGAAACGAACGGCAATGTACACTTAAATATGCCGACACAATGTTTAAGTGTATATTTTAAATGCGATTATACTTTGAACTAAGCTCCAAAACAAAATAATATATATAATAGCCTCAACGGGTAATATTACGAATTTTAATATTTATTTCGACTCGTTAAATAAAAGCAAGTTTATACATAATAAATGTATTGTACACGCAGTCGAGTGGTTTGTAAAATATTGTTTCGGCGCGACAGATTATGATACTGGGTTGCGCAAACATCAATAATTACCGTTTAATAAGTCCTTAAATATTCAGCAGTGCTCTCCTGTACGTATAAATCTAACACAGATCCCCGTGATTGGGTTATTACGTCTTAACGAACCGTCAAATTGATCATATTGTTGTGCAACTCACGGACACGAAATACCATAGAGTATATTATTATAGTACCGAGCCTTGGAAGCGATTTTTTTTTCTTTGCTTCGGCTTACGTACAGCTCGCTTAAGACACCAATGGGGTCCTTTCCATTCTCGTCGCATTCTGTTTCGTCTTCTATTCTACTGGCCCGCCTTCCCTTCATTATTACTGTGACCAACGTGACCATTGTCCAGACACCTTGCTATCTATTCTCGTCAGAGGTCTTCCAAATAGAATCCACTCTCCAGCCACACGGCTAATAGGTTCTTTCGCTCGAAGGTACAATATCAAGACGATATATCTTAAGATTTTAGATTATTAGACCTTAGATCTCTTTGTTGTACCGCTCGGTAGGAGGTGATTATTATGATTTTGTGGAATTTTTGCGTTCGGAAGGGACTGCGTGTGTGTAATCTGAAGTTCACATGTTTATCCGTCGATTAATTTATTATTATTATTGTTATTTTTACAGAAAAATGAATGATGCATTCAGAAGCTTTGGTGTGGTTGACGACGGGAATCGGCGGCCCCTTGTCGGTGGTATGGTTGTGTTGGGCGATACTGGTGTTGTGGTTCGGCCGTGGCCAGTGGCGGCCGTCGGACCCATTGCTCATAGCGCTGTTGGCTGAGGCGATCGCCAAACAGGCGGCCGGCACCGCGGGCTCGGCGCTGTCGCTGTTCCGGCCGGACGAACCGGCGATGTGCAGCGCGGTGCAGTGGCTGTGGACGGCCGCGCACACCATGCAAGCGGGTACGCTGGCCTCGCTGGCGCTGATGGCCGGTCTGCGGCGCAAGAAGCGCACGGTGGCGGCCGGCGGCCGGCCGCTGCTGCTCTACCACCTGGCCAGCCTGTCGGTGGTGAGCGCGTGCGTGGGCGCGGCCGCGCTAATCGCGCAGACAGACCCGTGCTCGCCGCCGTCGGACCGCCGGTACGCCGTGTTCTCACTGGTGCTGCACGCCAGCCTGGCCTTGGTGGCCGGGGCGTCCGCAGCGTTCGGCTGCGTCGGTCACCGGAAGGGGCCCAACCCGCTGCTGGTCAACTCGTCGTCCGACCTGTCGTCGTGCATGTCCGAGATATCCACGGTGTCCAGCTGCAGCCGGGGTGGCATACGTCATAGCGTCAGTGACTGCAGCGACCGCACCGCCGTCACGTGTACCACGTCGGCCACGGCTGGCGGTTACCGGGCGGCCGGCGCAGCCGAGTGCGCCGGGCTGGTGCACGACTTGCTCCGGTTGCCGTCGGCGGGCGGTGCGCCGCCGGTCACGTTTCTCAGTGGTGCACCCAGGGCCGAGGACGACACGCTGCGTAGGCTGGACGAGACCAAGCGGCTCATCGATTCCGGCACGCTGATGGCCGCCAGCGACCGCGACAGCTACGCCGCGTCCACTATCAGGCCTTACCGTTACGGTTGTGGTGGCGGCGGCCACGGCTCCAGGTACCTGCCGTCCACCGCGGCCTCCGTGTCCGTATCGTCAACCAACAGCCGGGCTCCGTGCCTAGCCAAACGCGTGTCGCTCGTCCAGGACGTCCGCATCGGCTACGTGGTGGCCATACTGTTTATGTGCTACTTCGTCGACCACCTGCCCGTTCTGGTAAGTTACGCGCGGTAATCATTTTTTTTTCATGTGTGCACTTCATACGCGACCGTTTCCGTCGGCCAGGGGGAATAGTTTTAGAAATATTTTAATACTTGGGTTTCGTAGCGCCAAAAACTACCGAAATACGCGTTTTAATTTATTAAGACACTTGGAATAAAAACGCTATAATATCGTATTCTAAAAACATGAAAAATAATGAGCGATAATTTGTTTTCTTTGAAAATTGATAGTATTTATTTAGTGGTTATTTACGAATTAATACGTTTATAAATATTGAAACGGAAGTACGGCCGTTTTTCTATTACAGTAAATTTTTTTCTTACAATTTCATTTCAATTATGAGGTTTACAGAAAATTCATAATAAATTGTAATGTAATTGAATATAAGTAAATACAGCACCAAAACTTAAGGAATTCACTATATAATTAAAATTCTAAAAACATGTAAACATATGCAGCGTATAATTTTAAACTCGTAATCTTTGTTAACTAAAACGAATTCATAGCATATTCTTCTATTTTTTTTTCGGATTTTATAAGAATTAGAAAATGCTATAGATTCATAGTTCAGTTAATACCATATTGTATGTATATTACTGCAAGGATGGTTTTGGGGAACAATTACTTCCACATGTATTCGCATTGAATGCATGCAAGTTTTGTGTTTTTTCATTTTTTGGAAATCATTTAAATCACAGTTCTCGGCATCACAGGAAAACGCATCTGGCTACGTATACGTATTTATCCATATTATAGAAGTTTCCGTTCGTGTATGCAATTACAGCAGTTACATATGTAATATTATCATAACAATATAACAATCCGGGCGGGAAGTTTTATAAAATTAAGGGGAAAATAATGTTTTAAATTCACAGCACGTATTTCACGTGTGTATTTTTTATATTGTTATCGATTTAACATACTTGTATGTACACGAAGAAATAATCATACTTTCTTTCTTTCTGAAACACCGCCTGTTGTATTCTTTAAGTCATAAGGCATAATAAGCCCGTAGAAATCTCATGATTTTCTAAAAAAAAAAATTAAACGCACATAAGACCGCCATGTGCATATTTTATTTAATATCATATACCTACTCTTATTATACATATTTAGGCACATTAGATAAATATCTCGTCAGTAACCCGATCGGTGTGCATTTTGGTAATCTGCCGCAGTTAGTTTGTTTTCAACAAATTTTGTCAGACTATACCGGCTGTTATATCATATAACAGTGGGTATTTCTAAAAAAAGTTTTTATTTGTGAAACAGTCAGAAGAAAAAATAAGAAACGAACCACAAATGGTTTGACATATACCATAAAAATCGAATTTTTGTAGGTTTATTTTTTCGTTTTCAATTCTCAAGTTTAGGTTATTCGTGCGCTATTGTTTCCCATTTATTTTCAAAGTCATGTTACCATCGACTAGTATCGGAACTCGTTTTAAATCAATAAAAAAATAAAATAACACATTTTTACTACGTGCTCCAATTGGCCGTAAATCACGATATTGTTGTACCGCCCGTCCCAATGCGGTTCACTGCTCGAACGTTTAAAATCAACAAGAGAAAACCGGGTTTGTAGGATCATGAGAAACGAGTATCAATATGCATTGTAATGTAACACTACTTCGGTTGTGTATACTTACTGTCAATGTCACGTACAAATGAAATCCTACTGTAGAATTTCAATTATATTAACGGTGTGTTTACATTTTTATTGGTACAGTCGTACAGTATATTGACGTCGGTTCAACGATGGAGTCGCTTTCAAAGTTATTTTTATAGATATACTTTTTTCAAGAACCAAACTTTTTGCCGTTGTTTTTATCACCATTGTCAACATTATTTTCGGTCAATAATTCATAATTTTTCGCATTACATAAACTGCTAAAACACTGTAATAATCATGTTGGAAAGTAAACAGAAAATTCCATAACGCGTTGGACGTTAATTTATAGCCACATATTTTGTGCTAGTGGGGAAGGGAGTTTATACTGGTTTTCGAATTAAAATAATCCGTTGCCAAAATGCTATTAGTCTTTCGTGACATTTGACCATATTATTCTAAAAACAACAGAATATTATTTACGTCGTATGAAAAACATATTAAACGTGTATTTATTACGTACTACTTCTTGTAAGCCATTGTGAGTAGAAAATAATTATTTTTTCTTTTTAGAATTAGCTACAACTATAGAATGTTACGATTTAAGAGCTACGCATGTTTACAAATAAATAAACGAATATGTTTTTTTCAATTTTATCACACCACTATCATTGAATTCAAAGTGAACATTTGTTTAGAAGATGATAGAATTTCAAGTAAAGTTAGTTGCCGTTCACGTTAAACAAGTGCACAGGACGTTTCCACAGTAATTATTTATAAATGTATAAATTAATTAAAAATCTAATGAAAATTAAATCCATGTCTAATCAATGATAGATACCCTCCGTTGAACGGATGAAATGCGTGTGGGGGACACCCGGAAGATTGTTCGGCGCCACTGATTATTAGCGTACTTAAGTGTTTAAGGATTAGCGAGAGATTTATATTTTATGCGAAAAATGGAAATAATTTTCAATCCTATGGCTGCGAAACTAAATGTAATGACATTGGCAATTAGCTAGGTAGGTACCTCGTTATTTTATGTAACCGTAATGCATATTGTTTATGTAACGTCGGGAGTAAGATTTTATTTATTTGCGGGCGCCGTGAACAATACTAATTTCGTTCGCTGTTCTATCCGGTGTATATGTGTAGCGGATTATTAATCGACAATGTTTATGAAATTCTGCTGAAACAGAACCGAAACGACTTTTTCGAGATAGATTTATTATTTTTGCACGAGTAAATAATATACAAAAACGATGGTGGTGATGTACGTGTTGAAAAAGTAAAAGTCTTCAATGCGTTGTTTGCATTGTTACGTAAGCAAATCGAATAAATAGTTGACTATGGAAAACGAACGCATTATCATATATAATATACGAACGATTTAAAATCACTGATGATAATGTATAATAATAATATGAACCTACGTAGCCAACCGTATTTACTGCAGGCGTGTTTAGATATGTTACTAGGTTGCTCGCGGACAAGCGTTTATATTTTTTATTTTACATTACCCGGTGTTATATATATTTTTGAAATTTCAATACACCGCTTTTCGAATAACGTTTTTTTTTTTTTTTAAACTCAGTCGTTCTGTATGCAAATTAAAAAAGACTTCGATGGAATAATTTTTCGTTGAAATGCCGACGAACGCGGAACAATACACGACGCGTCCACCGTCCCGCCGTGCCGAGTCGATTTCACCCACGTGCCTTCGTACACAATACGTTTTAGTCCGTCTGCGCCTACGCACGTCATAATATTTGAAATATATTGATGTAGAAAAAAAAAAATTAATAAAAAATATCCACCGTCTTTGTCGACCACGATCATCAGTGATCCTATACAATGATTCCATGTCATTATAACGCGAGTTCTGTTACAAAAAAAAACATCTAGTGATCTTTTTATCCCGGGACTCGCTGCACTACACACACTCGTCACGGTAAGCACCTATTTCACGAAGTCCTCGCACTTAGCCGGTACACACGGGACGATACTTGTTTGATATCTTATGACCGCGTGTATCTCGTATTTGATGTTACGATATACCATACCGGCAATAAAAGCAGCGGCAGCGAGTCTCGGATTAAGATTACCGATGTAGACAATGCGGTCAAGTGAATATTTATGTATACGTAGCTCTATCGATTTACTTGTTAACGTGTTGCTATATTATTTAACATTCATATAGTCCGTCGTAACGCGGGTGTCCGCTGGTCCATAGGCCACGGTGTAACATCATGGATATTTCTATACCATTGTCTTCCTTTCATACTCACTAAAACAATATTAACATAAGTACAAGTACTCGGAATCGCTTCTTGTGTACGAAGTCATGTTACGAGCTGTACGAGTACATTATAATACGAGTACAATTCTGCTCCGATTCGAACTTTTGCATCCTTCCATAGTTTAGGATATATATATAATATAATATAGACATCTTTGTCTTAGTTGAATTTATTCAAACGTAAAAATAGATAAATTTACAAGTAATACTTAAATTTTAGACCATTGGTATAGCGAGAAAAACATTTATTTTGCTCTGAATAAATTTTCGGAGAGGATACCTGCTCCCAAAGTCTCATTTGATATCTCGTGAGCTTAGACAATGGATCTCGGGTAACATTTAAGAGATAATTAACGGTTTTCTTCATTCAAAAAACTTCCTGGTGTATAAAAATAAATTGCAAAAAAAGGAAAAACGCCCATTGTGTCTTATCAGGTAATTTTTTCCCCTACAATTACAAGTAGCATTCTACAAAATGAATTACGCGAAAATTTTGCGTATGATTAGTTTTCAATTTTTAAATTATTTCATGTAGGTACGTATATTTGTTTTCGAATAAGTTTTCCAAAATTTTTGTATCTTAAATGGTTTTCTCTTGTTAATTTTCTACTAATCACTCTTGTGTACGATACAATATGAATTTCTCATCGATCGGGACGTAGATACACAAATGGCCTCTACAAGAGGGACCAGTAACTAACTACTAACTCGTAACCAATAACTGTTGTAACTGGATAGATGGACCGCCCCCCTTAAGCCGTGTAAAAACTAAAAATATGAATAAGAAAACAGTTTACTAAAAATTATTTTGTCGATAATTTTATGTCAAAACTGTTAACTGTTTACAAAAATGTTTGCTTCTACAGAAGTTTGACTGTTAATTAGTTTGAATAAAAAATAATTTTTGTTTTAATTTTTTTATTGATAACTAAATTTTTACGTTACGCCATTGTGGTATAAAGTTTATAGAACTTAAAATTACTTCTCACGTATCAAGCAATAGGAAAAAAGGAATGGGATTTGTATGCAAATTGTAAGTATATGCAATATATTTTCGCCCCTCCCCCTTGTGGCTTCTAAAGAACC